AATTTACGTTACATTAATGAAATTGATTTTAATTTTATATGTAATTTACAATACATTTCTTTTTTAAACCATATTTCTTTATTTTAAAATATATATAATTATTATTTTATAAATTTAATTAAGTTTCAAATTCATCATAGATTAGCGTATTTTAAATTAAGTTTATATTAAATAATTTTGGTCTATGATATTAAAAGATTATACTTTTTAATTCATCCCATACTGTTTAATTAAATAATAAAAGGTCGTTTTGATAGAAATTAGTATAATGATTATATTGTACATATTTTGAAAAATGTAAGTTAATTTATATTTGTTTTTAATCATAAATATTGATTTTATAAAAAGCTATTCAAAATTATTTTTTAGTTGCAATAATATTTTAGATATATAATTTCATTATTTTAAAAAGTTAAACATATAATATAGGTTGAGTTTGTTTAAACTTAAAAATAAAATAATTTTAAAAAAATTTAAAATAAATTATTCTTCTAAGTACAAAAATTACTTATATTCGGACACAATTATAAAAGCATACTTTCTTTTAATTATTAAAGTTTTTATAAATTTATTTTGATAAACTATTTAAAAAATATTATATGTAAAATAAACTTTTAATTTATTTTTTGTTTTCACATCTAAAATATAATAAGGACTTTTGAATTTAAAAAGAAATGGTTTTTTTTCTCAAATGAATCATGATAAAAAAAAAAATCAAATAAGTTATTGTTTTTATAAAACAATTCCAATATAACAAATATTTTCGTATTTCAAAATTATATACAAATACACACAATTGTATAAAATTAAAAAAAAACTAGATATTATTACTATATATGAAGTATACCGATTAGAGTTAAAGGTCATTTATGGACAGTTAGCAGGTATATTAGCATGTATTAATGGGTCAGATTATCTAACGTTTTACAAATATACCATATTAATAATTAATTTGATTGCCTAAAAATATACTGCATTAATGGTTAATCAATGGGCTTGGCTGTCCCAAGCCCTAAAAATATACTATTGATGTCCAGGTAAAGACATCTTTTTCTATCCTCATAAAATAGAGACTTCTTTATAAAATATATTTGACTATATTTTTCTATCATAATAAAAACAGAGATTTCTTTATGAAACATATCTGATTTGAGCGTCGGAGTGTATTTTGTAAGTCAACAACCCATCAGAGCAGATTGTGTTATTGAAGATAATTGAACGATCGGAGTAGAGGAAAGCAAGGAAGGACGACCGACCCTCGTACCAATTCAACCAAAACATTTGGCGCCCACTGTGGGGCCAAACAACATCCCCATGAAACCATGAGGGACCAGACGCGCGCTCGGTCTCGACATCGCTATTTCGGATCAATACCAAGTTTTGCAAACTAAGAGCAAAAAAATCCATATTAATTTCTAAAGGCATGTCTTTTGTTTTAAGAACTCTCAGGTAACCATTAGAGGTTTATGAGGCAAAAAATTAAATGCTTCCGCATAAAAATAAAATTATAAAATTTGAAGCATTTCCTTTATTTTGTTTAACGCATATTTTTGTGAGTAAAAATATCCTGTACACAAGAAGGTTCGGTCCCTTCCCACTTGGTCAGTGGACCCCCTACGTTTAGCCTTGTGAGGTTCTAATGGCTTTTCATTGTAAAAATAAAATATAAAATATTGAAGATTAATGAATGTTGTAATGGTTCTCAACTTTTTGTTGCACCTTTGAAATCTAATTAAATTGAATGTGAGAAAAGTTTTGAAATTGGCAGCTTCGGGATTCTTGCTTAGTCAGCTAAAGCAATGCAGCACTTTCAAACACAAGCACATCATAACACGAATTCCTCATTTTTGGCCACCAAACGTTCAACCAAAGACAGAACGGTCTCACCTGCCTGGCCATCCGGTTTCATGTTTTAAAGATAGGTAAATCCAATACATTGAGATTGATTTCCGTGAGTTGAGTTAGAAAATTTCAAACATCGATTTTACAGCACAAACAATGGGTCGAAGGAGAAAATCTGAATAGGAGAGAAAAACAATAATCTAATGTTAGATTCTTTAACCATATAAATAGTACAACAACTCTTCTCTTTTTCATCAAAAAATAAAAACACCTTCCACACTTGTTTCTTTCATATTCTCTTTTTCTCTACACTTTTTCAAGTCATGGCATCTCAATCATTCTCCGTCAATTTCTTCCTCGTTGCTCTCATGGCAGCTCTTTTCTTTGCCGTGGCCTCCGCCGAAGAATTGTCTCCGGCGCCGGCACCGGGACCTGATGCTGGAGATGCTGGATCTCTTTCTAGCTCTATGGCCATAATTGGAGCTTCCATTGTGCTTTCAATGTTTGCCATATTCAAGCACTAATTTGATATTACGGGAACGATGATTGTGAGATGAGTTGATCCATGTTTTATGGAAAGAAAAGAGACAAAAGAGAGAGATTCGAGTGAATCATTTATTGTAGGTGTTTCTGAGAAACAAGAGGGATTTTTATACCCCATTTCTACCATTCGTTATTTCAATTTCAATGAGTATTAATACATATTCCCATTGATTCATTATTGCTCTTCCTTTTTTCCAATATATATATATATATATATATATATATATATATATATATATATATATGAGTTAATGATGTAATTAGAAAAGGATAGGACTTAAACATTACAAAATAATTCAAAATTTTAATTAATGAATAAATTAATTGAGATAATATTTTTCTCAGCTAGCAAAACTAATAAAAAAAATTAAACTCATAGTTTATCTTGGAAGATATTGGAGAAAAATCACACTTCAAATTAAAATATGTTGGGATAAGAAATGTTTTTGGATTCCACATAATGTGATATAACATTATTACATAAAAAGACTTTTTATATGGGATATTTTCTGCTTTTTTATATTAAGTAACATTCAAATATGGGTGGTGACATAAATTTAACATAGAGAAATTATATACACAAAAAATATATTTATTTATTTAACATCATTCTTTTTTATTATTTTTTAATATATATATATATATATATATATATATATAAAAGTTCACTTCTTTATAATTATTTCGAATGTAGATCTAGATCAATGTCTAATTTTTTTATGATAGTTCAAATGATTTCACTATTGTTTTGTTTCCTAATTTGTAATGATTGTTCCTTTTATATTGTTTGGATGACATCAAATACTCTGATGGTAAGGTCAATTCAAATTTGACAATTCAGATATTAAATTTGTAATAAATACAAATATTTATCTTCTTACTTCACTTCAAATTTATATTTAAAAAAATCGAAATAAACCTTTGATTAACAACCATCTAACTTATGGTAATTATACTTTATTTTAAATTGCATAATATTAAAGTAAATCTCTTAGTAAACTAATCTTTTAGTTTCATTTATAATTTTATGGTTACAAGAATTTGTTCGGAAGATGTATTACTAATAATTGATTTATCTTGTTCATGACTAAAGAAAGAGAGTCATACATACACTAATATAATTAGAAACATTATAAATGTTGAGTGAATTCATATTATCTTTTATCTTATGTTCAATGCTCTATGGCAATTATCTTCAATACTTAAAATTGAGTTCGTACGTACCTACTATTTTTTGTTTATTTTAGTTTTTACTATATATTGAGCATTCACCGACCAATTTGAAAATACTTCATTAAGCAAGACGCTTTAAGGAAACAAAGATTATAGATAGAGAACTACTTTTGGTTTTCAATAAATGATACTTTCTTCTATATTCTATATTCAAATATATTGTGCATACAATAAGGGTTCAAAAAACCAACTCAATTAAATAGTATTGAAATATTTATACTTTATGAAAAGGTACATTTATTTTAAATTGTGTATAAAATGTTGAATTTATGTACTGATATCATTTTTAATTTTTCAGTGTGACACGATCCAGGTTACTGTTAAGCAAACTTTGATTGTAGACTTTGAATCTCTGCTAGAAGATGAGAGGTGTTATACAATGAAGAAATCTTTTTTAGTTGGTTGAAATTTTAATTTATTTTAGAAAACACTTTTTTTTTTACTATGTAAGCCCAATTAAATAATTTTAGTTAAATCAAATAAACAATTATATTATTTTAAAAAACATGACTATCTACCCACATGTTTCATGATTTCTCTTATTTTATTTAAAAATAACGTATTAACTAAAGTTGAATTAAGAATTATGAAACTCGAATATTTAAAATATGAAAAATAAATATTTTTAAATAAAAGATTGAATGATTTAATCATAATCTTTCTGAAGATTTTTTTAAAATGACATTCATACTCTTTCTCACCCAACATGATAAATCTCATTCATGATGCATGTGACTGGGTTGATGTTGTTGTTGGCTTTAAGAGCCATGAAGAACTCACGCAAATGCCAAAACCAGTAGCCATTCTCATTCTATCAAACTAACGGTTTAAGAGAAGAAACATGTCTGCGATTAAAACAAATGACACTATAATTAGGACCAAACCAAAATCGCATATTTACCACCACCTTTTCTCTGCTTCCTTGTAATTGTCTGGTCTCCTAGTACTTTTCGGAACGTTAATCACAGAACCATGAGTTGAATCCCTTTGGTCCAATTCTAAATCAACAAAAAAAAAAATAAGGGAAAAAAAAAGGAGAGAGAAATTGCGCAAGAACAAGTAAGAAAAAAGACCAGTCTTCCAACCAACCTTTTGATTTCCTCGTCAATCCAACAGCATTGTCGTTTCTTTCAATATCTGAAGACAACCCATTTTACACGACCACATAAATAACACAGCCAAAAAAGCACAAAAAGTTTTTTCATTTTTTTCTGTTTTGGGTTTATTTTCACAATTTGATTGATTCCCCCCATTGTGTTATTCTGTTCTGGGGTTGGTGCAGAAATGTTTTCTGCCACATTGCATTCATTAAAGATTTTGTTTTTAATCGAGGGGCATTTGGGTTGCTGGCATTGATGGATGAAGGAGAATAGAGGTAAGGGTGTGTGAGGGAGGGTGTATCAAAGTGGATTCCTTAAAGAGAATGAGCAAAGAGATCAACAAAGCCTGGGAAGCAACAATTCGCAAATCGAGTGGTACGAAGAAAAGGGCAAGCAGCATCTTCTCACAAATGTCTGTGGCCCATGTGGATGACGATGTGTCGTCGGAGGTGTGTCAGGTTGAGAAGATTCTCCCCAACGGTGACTTCTACACAGGCCAATGGCTGGAGAAGTTCCCCCATGGCCAAGGAAAGTACCTTTGGACAGATGGGTGCATGTATTTCGGTGAATGGATCACGGGAAGCACCATGGGAAAGGGGAGGTTTAGCTGGCCTAGTGGTGCTACCTATGAGGGTGAATTCAAGAGTGGTTACATGGATGGGAAAGGCACTTATATTGGTGCTTCCGGGGACACCTATAAGGGGTCTTGGGTGATGAACTTGAAGCAGGGACAGGGGACTGAGAGCTATCCCAATGGAGATTTCTATGATGGGGAGTGGAAGAAGGGGTTGCAGAATGGGCAAGGAAGGTACCAGTGGAAGAATGGGAACCAGTACATTGGGCAGTGGAAGAATGGGGTGTTCAGTGGGAATGGCACCATGATGTGGAACAATGGGAATAGGTATGATGGGGCTTGGGAGGAAGGTTTGCCTAAGGGAAATGGCACATTCAGGTGGAGTGACGGGAGTTTCTATGTTGGGGTTTGGAGTCAAGACGCAGAGGAACAGAGTGGGACTTATTATCCTTCTGAATCTTCTTCTGAAAGTCCTATGGATTGGGATCCTCAGAATCTTTACACAGTGGAGCTGAGTGATTGCCATATTTGTCCTTGTGAGAAAGTGGCAATTTACCCTTCACAGAAAACATTGAGTGGGTGTGGTGGAGAGGATGATAATAGGCCACTGTTTAAGAAGAGAACTGATGGGAGTGGGAGGCCAAGGTGGACTTCAGAGGATGGGAGGATCAGTAGCTACAGTAATGATGGGAATGGTGGTTTAGATGTAGGTAGAAAATCTGGATTTAGTGCCCTGGAAGCTCGTTCCATTTCTACTAGAACCAGTTTTACGAGGTTGAGAATAAAGAATCCCAAGAGACAAGGAGAGACCATATCCAAAGGGCACAAGAATTATGAGCTTATGTTGAATCTGCAGCTAGGTATCAGGTACTACTGATCATGGAATTTAGTATTTCTTTAAAATGTCAACATTAGTTGAGTTAAATGATGTCTTAGAATGGTGTGGCATTCTAACAGAAAATTTCCTTCTAATTTTTGCTACTCCACTGTTAACTTATTGTGCCATAGCACAGACATTCTGTTGGAAGACCTGCTCCAACTCCATCGCTTGATTTGAAGTCTTCTGCTTTTGATCCCAAAGAAAAAGTATGGACAAGATTTCCAACGGAAGGATCCAAGCACACACCACCTCACCCGTCTAGTGAATTTAGATGGAAAGACTACTGCCCGGTTGTGTTCAGGTAGACACCATGGCCTAAGTAATCTTGTTTTTTCATTTCAGCAAACTTTGGTCTTGGTTAGGTGTACCATGTTTTGTAACAGAATCTTCTTCTATGTGCTAACTTGTTGAGAGTGCCCTTGAAAATTTATAACCTTCCTTTTGAGTCACAAAGAGGAAGGTGATATGCTCTGAGTAAGTCTTTTTTTTTTTTCTCTAGAAAGTGGCACTGGAAAAACCATTTTGATATCTCTCTAGGAAGAACAAAGGATGTTAGGAAATTCCATGTTCATTTCATGGTTGCTGTTATAATTGTTTCATAATCTTTTGTATAAACTAATTGTCTATATTATATTCAAACTGATTGCATTTATATTTCTAGGGCTCTCAGAAAATTGTTCAAAGTTGATCCGGCTGATTATATGATTTCAATATGTGGGAATGATGCCCTTCGAGAGCTCTCATCCCCTGGGAAAAGTGGAAGCTTTTTCTATTTGACAAACGATGATCGTTACATGATAAAGACCATGAAAAAAGCTGAAGTAAAGGTGAGTTCCCTATTATTTTGTTGGATACAATATGCTAAGGATTAGTTTATGTATAGTTACATACATATACATACATACATACATACATACATACATATATATATATATATATATATATATATATATATATATATATATATATATTCTCTTAATCTCATAATTAGATAGTTTTACACGCAACCTCAGTTCTAAGTCCAGTAGTCTAGTGGATCTATGCATTACAAAAGAACAACAGTTACTATGTCAAGAAAATTATAAGTTTGGCAAAGATATGTATTACTCCACTTAGGCATGATGCTTGCCAATCAATGTTTGCTTAATCCTATGTTTATTACATGATTGCAGGTTTTTCTGAGAATGCTCCCTGCTTATTACAAACATGTTCGATCTTTTGAGAACACTCTAGTTACCAAGTTCTATGGCCTCCACTGTGTTAAACTAACAGGAACTTCACAGAAGAAGGTAGTACACTAGTACAGAGGTGTGTATAAACTGTGTTTTGGTATTGAAAGCTTTTAGATAATTACACTTCCGACTATTTCAGGTTCGCTTTGTCATCATGGGAAACCTGTTCTGTTCTCAATATGCCATCCACAGGCGCTTTGACCTAAAAGGTTCAACCTTTGGTCGCACCACTGACAAACCCGAATCAGAAATAGAACCTACAACAACACTCAAGGACCTTGACCTAAATTTTATATTCCGGTTACAGAAGTCTTGGTTCCAAGAATTCTGCAGGTGAAAAACCCATGCTTATTGCTTCTATTCCCACTATTTTTTGCCTATGCAAGGATTTGTTTCATTAAAGCACATTCTATTAGCTGATATGACAATTTCAGTTCAAAGATACAAGCTTTACACCAGCAATCTGAAAGATATGAAACTTTCACTGATAAGGTTGCATAGCTGGTTGATAATTGTCTGCATTCTACAACATTATGTGATATGATTGACGCACTGGAATGCGGTTTCTGTGATTTGACATTGATGTTATGCTGTATTTGGAAGTTGGTTACATTTCTCAATATGATGTTATGCAGGCAAGTGGATAGGGACTGTGACTTTCTTGAGCAGGAGAGGATTATGGATTACAGTATGTTGGTTGGTCTTCACTTTAAGGAAACAACATCTGCTGGCACTGTTGCACCTACACGTATCAGTTTAGACAGTGCAGAAGATGGAAGGCCCGGTCTCTCTGGAGTTGATGCTGATAATCTTTCAGTAGATCCTAGCCGGTATGTTGTCCCTAACTTCATCTTTGCAGAAGTTTCATTTGGTATCGGTTAGAGATAAAGGCAATTCACAGTATATTTCACCTTACAAACCGGTTTTGTGAAGTTGAGTTAGACGTTTGATTCTTAGTAATATCAACTTTAGTTTCGACTGAAACAAGCACAACAAGCTTAAGTTTTCAGTTATTGAACTGACCCTGGGACCTGTTTGGACAAAGTTCTTAGTAAGCACTTATAGGAGGAAAGAATAAGAACAGAAACTGCATTAACCTTTTTCTATAAGTTAATTTGTGTAAACTTTCTGATTTAGTTTGTCTAAATTTTGCAGTTTGATGGTGTTCAGTTAGGAAGTGTTTTTTTCATTTAGAGTGTGTTTTATGTTTCAGGTGGATTCAATTAGGAATAAATATGCCAGCAAGGGCTGAAATGACTGTGAGAAAAAGCACGAGTGAGACTCCTCAGCTGGTTGGAGAACCAACTGGAGAGTGTCATGACATCATAATCTTTTTTGGTATCATAGACATATTGCAAGACTATGATATCAGTAAAAAGCTAGAACATGCTTACAAATCGTTCCAGTATGATCCAACATCAATCTCTGCTGTTGATCCAAGGCAATACTCAAAACGCTTTCGTGATTTCATCTTCAGAATTTTTGTAGATGACACTTGAAGGTGAGATTTTGATGCTAAAAATTCATCTTTCAACAGGTGCCCATCAATGTATAGTTACAAGGAAATCACAAAGTTCTAACAATCACATTCATACTCATACATAGTTTAGCAATCACACACTTATTGGAGGCTATTTTGTGATCACAGAGACATACACATTTTCTAAAACTTCTGCATTTTCTAGTTCATCATTATTCTCTCCTTCATTTAGTAAATTTTACTTTATCTATAGGCACAACAAATGTATACTTTAGTGTAGATCAAATGTTGTTAAAGTTAATCAAAGCCTTTATCTTTTCATTTGTAAATGAATCAGTAAAAACTGGTACACAAGATTGAAGATTATTCTTTTCTGCATGCATTATTTTGTCCCCAAATAAGACCTGGAATTCGGCACTGGATATATTGTACATTCAGAGGATGAAAATTATAGTTTTTTGTGTACAAAAGTAAATGGAAATCTTCTTGGTATGGTTTTGTGTTATCTTCTACTAACATCGTTTCGCACAAATTAAAATAAAATTGAAAAAAATTAACGAAGTTATTAGAGCTGTAAATAAAATAATTTATGAAAAATCTAATTATATTTATCACACAAAATTATATATTTATGTTTAATATACATTAAACTTTATTAGAGTTTTACTTTTTTTTTTATGAAGATATAAATCTATTAAATTAATGAATTTATCGCACACTTTTTTTATAATTATAAATTAATAACATTAAATATTAATTAAATTTATTTAATTGAGTTATTTCGTAACATAAATCATAAGATATTAAGATTTTTATTTTGATAAATTCAGATTTTAAAAAATACTACTACCCATTGCATATAAAATTGTAAATAGTATAAAATAATAATGTACTTATCGTTACAGCGTCTTCCTGGATTAACTTGGAAAATTATAAATGAATAACAAATATAAAAAATAATGGAATTGAAATCGAAGAATAAATTAATGATAATAATAGTAATTCAAATAATGGTAAGCGTATTTTATTGAACTAATAGGAAATCTTCAATTTAATTTGAAATGACGTTAATTCGCTTAAAGCTTAACAATATAACATAATTAAAACTAATAACTTCAAAATGATTAAACTTATCATTATTTTTTAAAATAGTTTTATAATGAATGCATTTAACTGTAGATACTAAAAAATAGTAATCATGGTATTATATTTCCTATGAAAAGTGACTTTTAACTGATTGTTTAAATTTTGACTTAATTGTTAATATTATTACTTAATTGTCCTCTTTTCATGATTTTTACCTCTTAAACTTATTATTTTAGACATTTTATCATCACAATTTCAAATTTTACATAAATGTTTGAAAAAGGTGGGATTGTGAAATCTTGATACGTCCCATTAAAATTGAGATAAGGTAAAATATAAGAAATAAATTTTAAATTTAATTTAACTTTATAAAATCAAAACATGAAATTTTTTTATTAATATATTATAAATTTGTATTGCTTTTAATCCACGTAAATTCTTTGACATAAAACTTTAAATAAAAATATGAAAACTTGAATTAAAATTCCTCAGCAACAATGTCCCTAATCTGGTACACCAAATTTGGAAGATAAATTTACATAATTAAGACCTTTTCCCAGAAAATTAGCAAAATCAACTTCCTTTTCTCTCATCAAACTCATCCATCATCACCTGTTATTCATAAACAAGGTTCCAATGTTGTTAGTACCCACTAAAACATAGTTTCTATAAGGGTAAAACAGTACAATTTAAAAAATAAAATTGTATTTTGGATAATTATTAGGTCAAGGAAAAGTATCAGATAGATTTGTATCAAAAATCATAAACAAATTTATATAAAACATCAAATCACTACTTTTAATCCAATTTTTTTAAATTATTCACTGATAATTATTTTTTATATAAGTGATGAAGCATGCAACTTTAGGATGTAAGGGTGGAAATGCAACAAAGATGGCAACGTGGAAATGCAACAGACAGTCTGATAAGATAATGGACATTGAGAAGTGCACCATAAGTGCTTTTTTCTAGCTTCCTTTTGGTTTTCGAAACTCACAATTTTCCAAAAGTGATTCTCTCTCTTAATTCCTTCTCTGTTCACCCTTCACCCCAAGTAAATGCATGCATCATCAAATTTCTTTACAAACACACAACATCTTGTTTTTATAGACTTTTTTTTTAACAATTTTTTTTATAATGTCTCATTATTTTATTGGTTCATAAATTTAAAATAATTAATTACAAGCTAATACATATATTATTGTAAAAAAAATTATTAAAAAGACATTTTTTAATAATACAAAAGGAAAATATATTTTAACAATTTTTTTTAACAACCTTTTTACATTATAGAACGTGTGATTGATTCATTTCAAATATTTTAATAAAATTAAATTTATGCATACTAATAAAATAATAGCACTAAGTCTATTTTCAAAAGTTATTAAAATTAGTTGGTAAAATATAGGATGCAGTACAAAATATAAACAATATATCAGTCAACAACAATTGTGTCACTCACACTTTCACTTGCATATTTCTAATGCAAACCTAATTGCAAACTCTTCTTCTACTCTTTCAACTCATTCGTTGCAGGGTGATGATAAAAATCCTAACCAATTTATAATAGATAAGCGATTAGAAACAAATTGAGTTAGATTTAAAATAGATTTTAATAATTATAGCTCTTTGTCTTGTATTATCAGTAATGGTATTCATATGATTTGTTTTTTCATTTAACAGGAAAAAAAAATGAAAAAGGAAAAAAAATGTAGCAATGTAGCAGATCAATACCATATGACAGATTTGAAAATGTGTAACCAGAATCAGGCCTTTTCCGTGTAACTTAAACTCAGATGTGATGTAACAATGTAAGATTTGGTAATAAGACAAGCTTTTTGTGTGTTTGATAATTTGAATGTTTGAGAAGCATTGAGTTATTGTTTTTGAATGTTTGAGAAACATTTGAGTTATTGTTTTTGAATTAAAGAGGGTCTAATTTGGTACCTCTGAAGAAGAATGAACCAAGTTGCTAACAATGTTCAGGTGGCAGAAGCAGGGTATGCATTGTTATTTGGAAGTCCAATTGCAGAAGAACATTCTCTGTTCTTGCCACTGCAATTGTTTCCCAGCTGCAGTTCCGAAACACAAGGCACTGCATTTGCAATTTTCCCATCAACTCCATGGTCATAGAGAAACCCTTTGAAGACATGGCCACTGATGTGCACCGTTGCCAAGTAGGCAAACTCATCTTCACCATTCCCAATGGCAGAGACTCTGTGACACTTGAACACTGCAGGTGCACGAACATGACCAGGTAAAGACTGTTTGAAGCTAGCATCTGCAATTCCAGAGAATCATTTCAACCCCATAATGCCTCAAATTCATCTTAAACTTCAATTTATCATACCAGATTCTTCCATCCAACAACTCTCATCTAATCACTTCTAAAAACCACAAATTTATGGCATACAAGTTACACCGATCAAATCACACCAAAATTTACTGCTTGATACCATTTAACTATGAAAAATAAAAACTAAAAGTTGTTCTTAATTTCTTTGATGAGTGAAAGAACATGAAAGTGAAAGGGAAAGCACCTTGGTGAGAAGAGATTGTGGCTAAGCTTTTAGGTGTTGTAGCATTGGAGTTGGAGCTGTGAGAAGTGGCAGTGGCATTTTGTGAGGACCCCACTATAGCTCTTGGCCTCTTACTGCCACCACCAACGCCTCCGGCGGGAGCCACCACCATTTCCCGCTCCCGGCGGCGAATTGAAGGGACCCACGTGCTCTTCACATGAGTGCTGCAATCGTATCCGCGTCCCTTGCAACAAGTCCTGCATCTTCTAAAGATGCAATCTTTTTTGGCCCTGTTGCCACAATCTTGACACACTCGGAAGTCAGGTCCATAAATTCCATTTTCTTCGCTCTCCATCATACCCTTATGGTGATGATGTCTCTCGTCATCCTCCTCCTCGTCATCATCCATGTTGATCACACCCTTCTTCGGAGGATTCACTTCTGGGCACATCTTGAGGTTCCAATAGTTGGTGGTGGTGGTGTTGCCACCAGCAGCAGCACCACAGTCTTGAATCTCATTGGTTTGGTGAGGGTGTGGCACACAGGGTGTGGCAGTGAGGAGAGGGAAAATGCCAAAGCCAACACTGAGAGCGGCTGAAGAAGGAAGAGGAAGGTTGGGAGTTTGGTTTTCTGAGATGGGTTGGCCTTGGTGCAGGGAAGGTGTTTGAGCTATGAGCACTAAGTCTCTAAGGCCTAACATGCTCATTGGAACAAACAAGTCACAAGCTCTGAGATTGAGGTTCTGGTTCTTGGAAAAAGGGTATGTTTCAAAGTTCTGAGATCTTTATCTTATGGAGCTAGCTGGTGTTGATGAAGAAAGTATACATGGAGATCTTATCTTATTATATGGAGAGAATTGAATTGCAACACAGAACATGAGTTTCCATTCTTTTGATGCAAATGTTATACATGGTTTGAATTTAAAAAAGCAAAGATAGGGAAGAAATAATAATAAAATCCCATGATGGAGAAAACCATAATTCCTTGAATAGTTTTATCTCATTTTTTACACTTTGATTTGGTTAAAGAGTTTAACCATATATGTTAAATTTGTGAAAAAATGGTGAAAAAATGATGGTGGTTTTGCATAGTGGGATTGAGAAAAGGTGATTTTTTGGGGGTACGAAGAAGGCTACTGCTACAGGTTCTGACACTGAAAGTCCACTTAGAGATTCTTGGATTGGTAGGGTGAGTAATAATTATCATTGAAGTTTTGTGCTAGGGAGCAATTTTTGTGCCCGCATGTGTAGGTTAAGGATTAGATTTTCTCTTGCACCTTTTTGTTTTCAATTCATTTTTAGAGAACACTCATTGGGGCCTTCTGTGTTTTGTTGCAAACGGAACCTAGAGAAATAAGCAAAATTGCACAACAATTGGCCTTTTCTATTTTCAAATAACACAAAACAAAAACGGAAAACTCAACCAATTTCCTGCTTTCTTCTTTAATTTTTCTCCTAATTCACCTTAAAAATACATATTGTT